CCTACACACAAACAACTATGAGAAACTTTTCCAGCTTAAGTAGTGCTATTTCCAGTGAAGTATTATACATGAACACTAGTACAAAATTTTATGTAAATAAATTTTCTCAATTACGTGTCGATTTCAGATCCAGTCGACAACCCAAATGTTTGTCATGATAGAAAAAACGCACGCGAACATAAATCGTGCATAGATCCTACATCCATAGATGCGAATGCATTAAATTCGGTGGGTATTTTTGGCGAAAAGTAGGGATTTCTGAGTACTCTAAGACGAAAAGCAATTGAGCGACTGCTTGAGAATTCTGCAGCTACTGATTGGTCATTAAAACAACCACACTAGTGTTTACTTGACCTTCACCTCCAAGGACACAAGGCTCGCAATCAACCAATCATGGTCACCCTAACTTGTGGAGGGAGGACATATGATTGGCTGAATAATGGCTTCTCTTTCTAAGGATTCGAGTGGGTTACACAGAATTATGAGACTGATCACTGTCGTCTCGTGTCGGTTAGCAAGTCCAGTTGTACATCAATCTAGAACATGTCAGGTCGAGGAAAAGGTGGCAAAGGTTTGGGCAAAGGTGGAGCGAAGAGACATCGCAAAGTCTTACGTGACAACATCCAGGGTATCACAAAACCAGCCATCCGCCGTCTCGCTCGCCGTGGTGGTGTGAAGCGCATTTCCGGACTGATCTACGAGGAGACTCGTGGTGTTCTGAAGGTGTTTCTGGAGAACGTGATCCGTGATGCAGTCACCTACACGGAACATGCTAAGAGGAAGACAGTGACAGCTATGGATGTTGTGTACGCTCTGAAACGCCAGGGTCGTACTTTGTACGGTTTCGGCGGTTAGTTTGCTAGCATGTGAGCAGCTAGTGACCTACCTACCTGCAGCTGGTCCACACGAGAACGCATCAAGGTCCTATTTAGGACCACCACAATGTGATTTGTTTTTGTGATGTGATTATGTGGGTTGGTTAGATTGCCGCTGTTGTTAATAAGTTGCTATTGTGACTTTCGCTCAACGATGAGTCCTGTATTACCGAGTTTAATACTTGATACCCCTGCTTGTCCGTAAAGAGTTGTTCTAATCGTATACTATGTACTACTGCATACAAGCTTCAGAATGTCCCTAAGTAGGAGCACACGTCTTTAATTAGTTTAGAGTGATGTATACATCACCATACACGCCAAGTGGCAGTTGGGAACTTTGAAGCGTTGTTATTTGAATTATGAGTAAACATTTCTAATTAACCTCACATCCTTAATAAGTAGATTCTGCGGTTATACCTATTCGACTCAGGCATCCTAATGGATATTTAAGATACTGTTCATCTTGATGCATGTGATTGAGTATTTGCATGTAGTGGTTATGTGACGAACAAATGATTCTAGTAATGCTAGTTTTTATGCAGACGAACATCAGTTTACTTATTTCTAGTGGAAATCAAGGAGTGTGACTAGGGATGGATGTATAGTGAACTCTGCTGTTTCTCGACTTTCACTCACGCGACTGACACTGCTGCGCACGCTTTAGGTACTGGTCATCTTTGGATATGTGAACATATGTTGGCAACTGTGCTTAGATAACCGCCTATTTCTAGCACACAAACATAAGATATAAGGAAAAACGTCATATGACCTGGTCGTCACAACATTGGGCCCAACTACATCACATTGACATCATCCACCAATGGGAGGGTAATCGATAGATGACTCGCTCGTTCTGTGGCACATGTTTGGATTCAAATCATGCCATAGTTCAAGTACTTATATGTTTCTAGGTTACTGGACGTATGAAAGACAGCCCGAAATCCCACTAGGGTTCTGTCTAATGATAGTGAAGCTAAGAATAAGTTCCAGTAACAACCAGAAAAACAGTTAGTCGACCATGTTAGCAATTGCCATCCGTAGGCATCTTGAAATGATATCAAATAAGCTGTGGAAACGGCAGTGATATTTGCTAGTAGGGTAAACCATAAGTGTAGAAAGAAGTAGCATCCACCGAATTGATGGGTGCCTGGAAACTCATCCCGCCTGGATCAGAGTGCGATGAGGAGCGGAGTCAGCTTAGGCGCAGTCTGATAAAAAGTCTACGTAAAGATCGCAAACCGTGGTGTTTGGCGAAAGCTAAGGGTGGCCAGACCAAATGCACGAAGTCACTAACGAGTGAACTGAATCATGTTGGTAGATATAGGCTACCTGGTTGGGGTCCGTGAGACGACAGCAACTGATGGTTAGAGACCTTAAACGACATGGCTCAAAATCGTTTTTGCAATTCCGCAGGCGCATTCATTCTTTGTGTTCTCTCGAATCCTAATCTCTCCGATTACTGTTAATACTTTTGCTACATCTACTACTATGGGATTTGAATTGACGACTGCGCCTCTGTGCTAATGTGGTATGGCAACATGAACTGATGTACATACGTGCGAAGTTCGACGTTGCTATTGATTGATCACATGTGAATAAATACTTGCAGCCAGCAATTATAGGGTGAACAACTTTTACTAGTAACGCTAGGATTTTTTTCATTTAATTGTTGCAGATAAATTGCAAATGCGTATCCACGACCGTAGATGCAACCATCACATATTAGTATGGCACTTACAACGCCTGATGTATTAGTCCGATGTTTTAAATAGCAACGGTTCAGTTTTAGCAGCTAATTTAACGGATTTAGCTAGAATTTGCGAACTAGATATATTGTCATGCTATTGGCCGTAATCGCTGGTCGTCCCAGTCTATTGCGCTGACCAGTAATGTTGCGAACCATATGTAACTTGTCTGCATCAATTTGGAACTAAACCTGATGTGTGGTAAAGGAATCTGTGATACTGCTTACTATGCTCGTCTCCAGGTATGCTCAACTGATCGGCCCATAAAATAAATCCAAAATAAAGATATCTATCAAGCGAGTTCTGGGGATCTAACATCCACAACAATCCACCCCTTTTTAATAGCGTGTTCTCCTGGGGTCGACTTATATCTTGACTGTTCGCCGTTGTCTGAGAGGATACCTTCGGGAACGGAGATCAGATTGTTGCTGAGTTTCTTCTAGTGGGGGTGGCTGCTTGTAGGTTGAAAGTATTGAGCAGGATTTCAAGGGGAAGTTTTTCTGCTCTTGATGGACGATCTGAGGCTAGTCGTTTGCGTATGTTGTTTCGATGGCGTGAATACCTTTCGCCTCCTACCTCTACTTCGTACATAACTCGCCCAACTCTTCTGATCACTCATGCTTCCATCCAAGGACCATGTGTTGTTCTGTAGTCACGGGCGAACACAGCGCACCCTACTTCGTATGTGGATTGCCTTTGCCCCCTTCCAAATGTTAGAACACCGTCATGCTTATCTTATTCCAACAATCTTTCTGATTCCTGCTATCACGACTGCCTTTAATTCCTTGGGAAGAACTATTTTCTGATACTATCTACTGGAGAAGAGTGTGCCTGAGATGTTGATTAACGTATTGAAGGCCGCAACACTTCATTCATAGTGAGTGCATACAACTACCTCTCTCCACGGTATCATACATGTAACAGAGATCGGTGGTGTTGTTCACTTCCTTCATCCCTCTTCAACTTTTCCATCAGTGACGTTCTGAAAATAGCTCAGATGTGTATGTTGATCTGTTGTCTGTAGTAAGTCATTTCGACCTTGAGTTTACGGAAAATACCATCTTACTGCGTGATGACACCCAGGACATGAAATCCGCATTAAATCAGTATTGTGCTTTGCACCTTCTAAGTGCAAAGTACTTGTAAAAGAATAACGGGACCCTGCACTCACTTTTGGTAGTGAACAGATAGAAGTGGCCGGAAAAGTTTTGTATCTGAATAGCTGTTTGAATGATGCTGGTGGTGTGAGTGATAAGACCAGTTCACATATAATGAAAGCCAGAGAGGATTCTGCCAATCTCGGCCATCTTTGACGCCTTCCTGGCTGTAAAAAGTCGGGTCTACAATGCGTCAGGAGAGCAGTTTTCCTCTATGCTTATGAAACATAAGCTCCTAGAATTGAAGACATCAAAAAGCTCTATATGTTCAATCATTATTTAGTGGATAATTGTGTGGAAGCTCACAACGTATGTTCGGGCAAGGTAACGACAATTAAATTGATGTCACCATCTTGAAACACTGACTTCGATGACTTGGACATTTACTACAAATGTCTCCAAACTGAATTCCACATCGTTTATAATTAGTCTCCTATGGAACTGGTTGGAAAAAGCGGAGAGATGGCCAGTAAAGAAAATGGTGTTGTAGTATGAAGGAAATCTACACAGTACTGGCTTCTGTCGGTTTTTCGAATCTCCTTAGTTGGAGCTCTAGAGATGGATGTTCCAGTAGCGTAATATTTTCGATAAAGTTACGGACTATTTTTTAAGGTTAAGTGGACAAACTGTTCAGGTTAAAAACAGTTTTAACCGGCAATCATTGAACGTTTATTTTGTTCAGTTAGTGAGAATATATTCACTAATTAACAAAATTCTGAAATTAATCGACTAAGTTTGTTGCCTATCGACTTACCTTACTTACAGTACTTGACTAGCTGCTATGTCTTGAAGAATAAAAGTTCTCTTGGAATTGAATTAGTCCTAACATGAAAGTCTAGTAATTATACACTAAACTATAACTTCTATCTATTAGATTCAATATAGAGTGGATGAGTTTTCGTTACTGTACTAAAAACTTTATTTACAATGATTTGTTTAATAATATAAACTAGACATGATGACTAGGTTTTTGAAAGATCTTCATTATTATTATTATGACTATTATGAAAAAGTTCCTAATGTCGTGAAAAATAAATCCGAACGTGACGTTTAAACGTTTATTTGAAACTTCCTTAAAAAAAATCATATTTTTTATCAAAATGACAATAATTTTAAAGTAATTACATATCACAACACAGTATCATAAATATAAACAAAATTTGTACTTTTTTTCATCAAATAATTTAAAATTGAAATGGAATTTTATGATATTGAATGTTTACAAATAAAAGCGAATAATTATAAATACTTGAAAAATATTCGAGTATAAATAGTAAAAGTTAAATATCATACATATTATATTTATCAAGTTTTATTCACATTTCAATAATGAAACTTATCCTAGTCATTTCACTAACTATTTTATTAGCGTTAAATGTGACTGCGTAAGTCAACCATTTCTATTTTTCAACGATTTATAAATTTCTAGTATGTATATGTATATATAAGTCAGTTCGATGTATTAACTATAACTTAATTAGAAAGTATAAATTTAAGCAGATAATGGTAACTAGTGTTAACTAAATGTATCAGTGTAGATCTTTTTATTGTTTCTTTTTGTTCTTTGGTCAACCAAAAGAAGTGATTTTTCAGAAATATACTCGTTCGTTCTCTTAATTGTACACCAAATCTAACTGATCCCATGGTAGCGGTTAAAATTGATAAATACAATACAGTCTATTTTTAATTTGTAAACTCACTAATTGATTGGCTTGGTGTATTGAATATTCATTCTAGAAGAGCTTTTTTACACGTTGTATCACTATTTCATTGACAATATACCTTTCAACTATAATTTCAAGAAGGTAGATTTTATCAGAAAAATCTTCAACTTAACTTCAAAATCAAAACAAAAGTTGCAACAACAAAAAGAAATTCATCTCTTTATTATTTAAAATGTAGAAATGAATATCTTTCTCTATTGGTGTTCGTATAGTTTTACTTTTTTTAAGAAAGTTTAAACGGTTGCAGTATACTGCATGAATAGTTCACATATCATAATGTTAACTTAATAGACAGATATTAGGTTGAATTTGTCATGCTATGTGTATTACTAATTTATGTAAAGATTATTTCAAAAATTTAACTATCATTAAGTGAATATCCTCATAGAAAGAATGTGAAACATTCGATTTATAAAATTAATCAACCAAGAAGTAAGAATCAATAATAACCAACTATAATTGTGAACTATTTCATTGATGTTCAGCAACATGTTCACCAACTTCACGTTCCAATACACAATATATTTCAAGTGCTAACTCTCAGGACATTGTTTAAAAAATTGCCCACAATACTTAACAAACTCAACTGTTTATAGGTATGTTATATCCACAACTTACAGCTGATTTTTCATCCATTTAATGAGTGGGTGTTGAATATTGAGGTGTAATTTTAACAACAATTTCATTTTCAGTATTTATAGTTTTCCAAAGCTCTCTGTAATGAACATATGAGAGAAGGGTGTTCTAACATTCCAGATGAAAGACTCATATATAATGAAAATCAGAAATCAAAATAAAATCTCTCCTGTTAAGTTACACTAAAATATGCAAGACTCATTCAATAAATGAACTATAAAATAACAGGAATTATTGTCTACAACAAACTTATTGAACACTGAAAAATGTAACTTCATTCGTACTTACTGATTCTCGATGGCTCTTTAATTGATATAAATCAATAAAATATAAGTAGTTTATCAGTAAACAAAATTTTGCACAGCACTTTTGCACGAAGGGATTCTGGCACGACTACTCTTTCACTAAACATCGGACAATCGTTCACGATGCATAGTGAACCCTGCCGCTGATACACTTGTTTCATGTCACCTTCAAACTTTTTCGACGGCCAACCGTTGGTGACATATTTTATCGTCATCTTGATGATGGGGTCGTTTCTAGAAGCATTTTGTATGTCTGTTGCAGACACCTGTAATGCGCGAACTGCGGTTGTCAGTTAACATTCTGCGTGGTCTTCTACTGGTAGAGATGCGATCACTATGTTTTCCTCAGCCGCCACTTGATCATTAATGAGTCGTGACAAAGTGTCCGCCTGACCGAATTGTAGAGTGCGTCGATATTGGATTTCGAAATCATACCCCAAAAGTACCAAGGCCCATCGCTGAAGACGATTTGCAGAATGGGCTGGAATGCTAGACTTTGAACCAAATATTGCTAACAGAGGCTTGTGATCTGTGAGGAGCGTGAATCTCCGACCGTACAGAAACTTATGGAAACGGCGAACAGCAAACACAAGGGCAAGAGCCTCTTTCTCTATCTGGCTATACTTCTCTTCTGCTGGGGTTAGTGTATAACGGCTTTTTCTGACGCGTCTGGAAACTGATGTGAAATAACAGCACCTAGGCCATGTATATATAATCACAATGTAATATATAAATCATAGCTTCTCCATTCCCAGTTAATCCTCTATAAATTATTGAAAACAAACTGAATAAAACTCTTCTACTCTATATAACTTTGAATAATTAATTATTCGATAGAAGTGAATTTCACATACAAAGATTTTTCAATGTTTATAATCTTAAATGATTCATAGATTTCTGAATTTTTCTTACTCTTTTTAGATCCAAAAGTAGTCAACAGGAACTAGTAAGTTAGGTGGAAAATAATCAAACTTTTATTAAACAATTGATCATAATTAATAATTATATTCACAGATTACTGAAAGTATAAAATTGTGGACAACAATTAGAAAACTTTGGTACCAATTTCAAACAAAATGCAGAGTTAAAATTTTAGAGTATCTTCATGAAGATGACCTAGGTGAAAAATTAGCTGATATTTTAAAGATTTGTAAGTTATTTTAGCAAAATACATATCATCATATTCATTTACTGTTTTAGATGTTAGACGTTTAAATGCACGTCTGGACCAGCGTTTATCAAGAGAAGAATAAATAGTTTTGATGATTAAAAACAGACAACTTTCTCAATTTGTTCAACGATCAATGGGTGGAAATCTATTGTAATTAAATTTAATTTAATAAAGTAGCTGAAGATAATTCTTGATTTTACCATATTCTGTATAATCAATAGGCAAGAGAACCTAAAATATTCTTAAAATTCATTTAATGAATAAATATATTAAGCTATATTACTAAAAAGAATTTCTTAGTTTGAATGGTAATAAGGCGATGTTACTCTGAAAAATTTTCTCATATCATTCATATATTACTTTTTCAATTTCATCAGTTTAATTTCTCGCATACAAAATTTACAGTGATGTTGGATTTGACATTTGAAGCTCATGACAATGCATTCGAGTGCTAACGTGAACATCACCTAATGAGTATTAAACTGAATGAAATACACTTCATCGATTCTATTGATAGTTATAACCCATTTATTTTTTGGAAAAAAAAATAATATTCAGAACAAAAGTTGATGTTTTTAGACTGAATATGTTCACTTTACCACGATGTCATTTTTTTTAAGCAACTTAAATTGCAAAAATACAATTAACTTGCAGTAAATTACTTACACTTCTCTTGTCAATAATTTTGAAATGATTCATATTGAGAAAAGAGTTATCCGTAATTTACTTCTGCTGTGGTGCGCGCTACTTATAAGTAGTATATGACGCTAGTGTAAACGTAATGTCTGGCAGCAGAAGATGGGGGAAGATCAAGAAAGGAAGAGTGGGATCACAATCGAATTTGTATGAAACGCATGAATAGTGAAATGTCAGACAATGGATTGATGATGGATTGATGATTTGCAAATTAACGGTTACGATTTGGTTTTCCTATTTTACTGAGTAACTCTGTAACTCTCGTTAAATACAATTCGGTTGCCCTCACCTGTGTTCTCCTTCACTACACTGCTAGTTATTCTTAAAATAAAGAGACAAGTTTAAATGATTAAAAGCTCATCATTAATTTTTAAAGGCAGTTAGTATCTTCCATAATGACAACTCTATACGCCAATTTGTAAAGATAAGTAACTTTCTCCACATGTGTACAATATGTGGAGAAAAGTAACATTCTCTTTTATTACTACTGTCTTTCATAACCTGTTAAAGTTGTGAAAAATTTTTCATAAGTTTTCTACCCTAGGTGCGAGATAATGAATATTTTTAGAGCATCGTGAATAAGTGTAAAGATTTGTATACTCATATACGTGTGATAAAATGAACTGACTTTACACACGGAATAACAAAGAATGTGTTGACTACAGGTCAATATGTGTAGATGGATGGGTTTGAATTGTAACAATTTCTACTCTTTGTATTAAAGTTAAAGATTACTTATTTAATTTGTAAGAATATTTTTCAATTAGAGTTATGGAGATTAGTGCTTTTCGCACATTGAAATCATCGATCAATCAATGTTAGACCACCGTTAGAAACCTGGAAGCAAGGGACAGCTGTTTCGTATTGGTATAAGGAAATTCTCGAAGTTATAGTGAGAAGACGTGACCAGTGAAGTTAGACTCTATTGGGTGTAGGCAGTAATTACCAAAGACAAATGGGTGAGGTCGCGCAAAATATCTAGATTGACCAGAGTTAAACATTAACACTGTTGGATGCACTCACAGTGGACCAGAGGTTAGTCGATTGCGCGCAAGACCGAAGGCCACGGGTTCGAATCATGCGAGGTGTAGGAGTCATGGATGCGTATTACTGATGAGTCACATACCAGGACGAAACGGCCGTCCATGATATGAGCACTGTGGAGTGAGGGAGTGTCGTGGGCTGGTGTAAGAGAGTATCATCTGCCTGCGAGAATGCATATGTTAAGGGTGTTCAATTGTTCTTGACTTACCAGCTCCCGTCCGACCGTGCTCCACTCCTCCTAACAATCGGAAGATTGTTATGCCAAACACCGAATCAATCAATTGCCTGCTGACGGATCAATGACAGCAGTGATTTCTCACTGTCAATACCAATTTGATATTCGTGTAATTACAGGCATGCCGTTTACTTGGAACAGTGAGGCTGATCTCTTGTCCACAACTGGACACACATTGCAAACATTTGTTCGAGCCATCGACGACTGACTTAGTGCGACTTTTTTTAAGTAACATGTGTGTTTTAGAACGGAGCACAACGTGTTCAACTGTCTGTGACCAGTTAATGTCATTACTTTAGAATGCGCAGGTTGGTTAGATGAGAAAGAATTGTCAGAGTACAGACGAGTTCGATTATACCCACCCACAAGTTTAGAATTGTTCAGACCTGAATATCGGAAACGTTGAGCTGAAATATTCAACTTTCCTTAGGTGCCTAATGCAACCAGATATTAAATACTAATCTTACCAGTCCATCTTTCTCTTTTTGAACAAAGTATTTACAGATTTTAGGTTTACGATTTACTTATTACTTCACCAATAATAATCACTGGTATCAGGAATTTTATCACTTTTCTCAATTTTCGAATTCCTTTCATCAATCACCATACGCAAACTTGCACATTGTAACTGTGACAGACGTGAACCTTGACATGTGGCCTAAATTGAATGGTGTTCTGTAATGCCTGATTCCTTAGCGCATGTGTTCAGAGGAGGGTCGGAGGAACGTATATCACCTATCCTCGATAATGCATGCCATCAACGCGAACAACAATGTGTATGAAAATTAAGTTAACGCGATTTTTATCTGTAACATACTCATCCATATCTTAACTCATTCAGCGAATTAAATTCAGCCGGTCATTTGGTCTCCTAATTTTTTTGGTAAATATTCTGCTGAGCTATTACTTCCCCCATACAAACAAAGTCATGATTAGTCAAAGTCAATTCATTGTACATAGCGAATCCTCAATTTCTTGAATTATTCAAAATTATGGAAAGGATAGATAAAAACATGAGTTAATGGTGTCGGATCAGAACCTATCTAAATGAGTTGTTGGTAGACTAGAAAACGAATTTCAATAAAAGTCTGACCTTTTTCCTAGCCTAGGCTTAACCAATTGCATTGCTCCTCTATGATTGACCCAGCTGATAAGTGACCTCGATTGTGTGTCTGCTTTTACATAGGCGAGTGTATTTACACACTCATGAAATCAACCAATCATGGTTACCCTAACTTGTGGAGAGAGGACATATGATTGGCTGAATAATGGCTTCTCTTTCTAAGGATTCGAGTGGGTTACACAGAGTTATGGGGTTGATCACCGTCGTCTCGTGTCGGTTAGCAAGTCTAATTGTACATCAATCTAGAACATGTCAGGTCGAGGAAAAGGTGGCAAAGGTTTGGGCAAAGGTGGAGCGAAGAGACATCGCAAGGTCTTACGTGACAACATCCAGGGTATCACCAAGCCAGCCATCCGCCGTCTAGCACGCCGTGGTGGTGTGAAGCGCATTTCTGGACTAATCTACGAGGAGACTCGTGGTGTTCTGAAGGTGTTTCTGGAGAACGTGATCCGTGATGCAGTCACCTACACGGAACATGCTAAGAGGAAGACAGTGACAGCTATGGATGTTGTGTACGCTCTGAAACGCCAGGGTCGTACTTTGTACGGTTTCGGCGGTTAGTTTGCTAGCATGTGAGCAGCTAGTGACCTACCTACCTGCAGCTGGTCCACACGAGAACGCATCAAGGTCCTATTTAGGACCACCACAATGTGATTTGTTTTTATGATGTGATTTTGTGGGTTGGTTAGATTGCTGCTGTTGTTAATAAGTTAATATATTAACTTACGCTTAACGATGGGTCCTCTATTACCAAGTTTAATTCTTGGTATTCATGTTGATCTGTAGACAGTTGGTCTAATTGTATGCTACATACTACTACATACCAGTATCCGAATGTTCCTAAGTAGGAGCAAACGTCTCTAATTAGTTTAGTGTTCACTTTTGAAGTAAATATAGAGGTATGCATCACCATACGTGACAAGTGTCATTTGAGATTATGAAGTGTTGTTCTTGCCATAAGTTAACATTCCTAATGTTTCTTACCTGCTCAAAAGTTTCGAGGATTCCGTGGTTGCTCCTGTTCGACTGTCATCACTCACGCGTACGCCGTTTCAGTGTATACTATCTTGATGCATGTGAATAAAACTAGCAATTGTAGGATGAACACATTTCATTAGTAACCTTAGTTCTCGTGCATCTGGTGTGCGATTGTTGCACTCATCGGTGAATCATGAAATTTGTTCATTTTATTTCGGATCTAAAACGGATGAGTTGTTTGGGATGTGGTTTTCCCCGTCGAAATGCAAAATGTTGCATTGAGATGTGGTTTCATAGCACCTGAACTAGTGACAGTGAGTAAAATAGTCGAGCGTGTTGACCGCTTCACTCATCTGGGGAGTTTCATCAGTGCCGGTGTACTGGTGAATTACGAAATACAGAAGGCCAACCTGTGTTACTTATGGCGTAGGCGAGATATCCGTTTGCTAACCAAAGGTCGAGTGTACTGCGTAGTAGTTCGCTCCGTCCCACTTTAAGCCTGTGAAACATAGCCGATAAGAGTAGATGTTCGTAGGTTACTACTATTCGATTATCGATGTCTTCGAAGCCTTGCTTGTATAACCTGGGACACCCGAGTGAGCAACGCTGTTATTAGGAAACGGGTGCTAGGTAAGAGTGGCAGATTAACAGATGGAGTGCTGAAACTTCATCAGTTGAGGTGGTTGGGACATGTGCAGCTTATTCCTAACCACCGACTGCCTCGTCGAGCTTTGTTTTGTAGTGTAGGAATATGTTGACAGAAATCCATGAAGTCATTTACAAGTGGACTCAGTCATGCCGGTAGTTGTCGACTACCTGGTTGGGGTCCGCGAGATGATAATAATCGATGTTTAGATACGCTGAATGACATGGCTCTAAACCGTTTGCAATGGCGCCGGTGCATTTATTCTTTGTGTTCTCTCAAATCGTAATCTTCTGCATTCTTCAACCCCTCTAGTTTTGACTTTCTAAACTTCTAGTCCTAACCTCTCCGATTACTTCTAATACCTTTACTACCTCTTCTACTATTGGATTTGAATTGACAATTATATCTCTTTGCTGATGTGGTATGGCAACATGAACTGATGTACTTACGTACTAAGTTCTACGTTGCAACTGACTGACTGACTTTCATGTCTACTTAGGGTGACAGAAATTACATCAATAGTAATATGTACTTTCGCCACTATCTGCAACATTATAAGCTCGATAATTAGAAAGGGAAAAATAGAGATGGTGAGGCATTAAAATTTAAGAGAACACGAAGTCTAGATGCGCCTGCGTCATTGCTGACGGTTTTGAGCCATGTAATTCAGGGTCTCTAACCACCACCATCATCTCGCGGGCCCCAAACAGGCGGCCAACACTTATCGTGAAACAGATCGACGAGGCAGTCGGTGGTTGGGCATATGCAACACATGTTCCGGATACCTCAACTAATGAAGTTTCAATACGTCATCTATCGATCTGCCATCCCTGCCTAGTACTCGATTTCTAATAAAATCATTGTTTACTCGGTTTTCCCAGGATATACGATCAATGCTTGGAAGACATCTATAATCGAATAGTAGTAACCTACGAACATCTACTCTTATCGGCTATGTTTCACAGGCATAAAGTGGGACGGAGCGAACTACTACGCAGTACACTCGACCTTTGGTTAGCAAACGGATATCTCGCCTACGCCATAAGTGACGCGGGTTACATACTTACACCTGTTACCCCCAATGGAGCATAGGCCGCCCACCAGTTTTCTCCAACCAACTCTGTCCTGGGCTTCCCTCTCCAGTTCTGTCCAATTTTTGTTCATTCCTCTCATATCTTTCTCTATTTCTCGGCGTAATGTATTCTTTGGCCTTCCTCTTTTCCTTTTGCCTTCAGGGTTCCATGTGAGGGCTTGTCTCGTGATGCAGTTAGGTGCTTTTCGTAGTGTGTCCTATCCACTTCCACCGCTTCTTCTTGATTTCCTCCTCCACTGGAATCTGGTTTGTTCTCTCCCACAGTTCGTTGTTGCTGATCGTGTCTGGCCAACGAATACGAAGTATTTTGCGTAGACAACTGTTAATAAACACTTGTATCTTCTGGACGATGGCTTTCGTAGTTCTCCATGTTTCCGCTCCATACAGTAGAACTGTCTTGACATTTGCTTTGCCAATCCGTGCCCTCACATCTGCATCGGATCCACCATGATTGTCGATGATGCTGCCAAGATATGTAAAGGTGTTGACGTCCTCCAAGGCATCTCCATCAAGAGTGATTTGGTTGGTGCATGTTGTGTTGCATCGGAGAATTTTACTTTTTCCTTTATGTATGCTGAGACCTACTGCTGCAAAGGCTACTGCTACACTGGTCGTCTTCTCTTGCATTTGTTGTTGCGTGTGAGATAGAGGAGCCAGGTCATCTGCGAAGTCCAGATGCGTCCTAACTGTCCAGTTGATACCGTGCTTCCCTCCAGATGTTGACGTTTTCATAATCCAGTCGATGACCAGGAGGAAGAGAAAGGGTGGGAGTAAGCAACCTTGCCTGACACCGGTCTTAACCTCGATAGAGTCTTTTAGCTGTCCTTCGTGTACAATTTTGCAGTTGAATCCATCATAAAAATTCCGTATGATGTTAACCATTTTCTCAGGCACACCGTAGTGTCGAAGAAGCCTCAACAGTGTTTTCCTGTCCACGCTATCGAATACTTTCTCGTAGTGGATGAAGTTGATGTAGAGTGGTGAGTTCCATTCAATTGATTGTTCCACAATGATCCGTAATGTAGCAATTTGGTCAGTACACGATCGATCCTTACGAAATCCGGCTTGTTGATCTCGAAGTTGGGCGTCTACGAAGTCCTTCATTCTGTTTAACAATACCCTGTTGAAAACTTTGCCTGGTATTGAGAGAAGAGTGATGCCTCTGTAGTTCTCACACTTGCTGAGATCGCCTTTCTTTGGTATTTTGATGAGGTATCCTTCTTTCCAATCTGATGGTACTTGTTCCTCATCCCAAATCTTCTTGAAGAGGATGTGAAATATTTTCGCAGTTGCTTCTACATCTGCTTTCATTGCCTCTGCTGGAATGTTGTCTGGTCCTGCTGCTTTGCCGTTCTTGATTTGTCTGATGGCCATACTGATCTCCTCAATCGTAGGTGCTCCAATATTAATTGGGAGATCCGTGGATGCCGCTTCGATGTTGGGTGTGTTCAGTGGAGCTGGTCGATTCAATAGTTCCTTAAAGTGCTCTACCCACCTATTTCGCTGTTCGTCAGTGTTGCTGATTACTTTGCCTTCCTTGCTTTTCACTGGTCGTTCTGGTTTACGATAGTTTCCGGCCAGCCTCTTTGTTGTTTCATACAATTGTCTCAAGTTTCCTTCTCTTGCAGCCTTTTCCGCCGTCATTGCTAGATCTTCCACATATTTTCGTTTGTCAGCTCTGATGCTCTTCTTCACTTCCCTGTTTGCTTCTGTGTATGCAGCTTGTGCCTTAACTTTCTCTGCTCTTGTTCTGCTGAAATTCACTGCTGCCTTCTTGTTCCTCCTTCCTTCAATTTTTTCAAGTGTACCAACAGAGATCCATTCCTTTTGATGGTACTTCTTGTGACCCAGAACTTCGTGACATGTTGAAGTGATTGCCTCCTTAATCCCTTTCCAATTGTTCTCCAACGTTGCGTCTTCTCCATTGAGTATATCGCGCAAGGCCTGGAACCTATTGGTGAGAGCTATCTTGAATTCGTTGAGCTTTACAGTATCCCGAAGAAAGGCCGTATTAAACTTCTGTGATGTTGTCTGTCCCGTTGTCCAGTGCTTCTTTAGTTTCAGTCTCATTTTGGCGATCAGCAAATGGTGATCTGAGGCTATATCAGCTCCTCTCCTGGTTCTCACATCCTCCATAGTCCTTCTGAACGTCTTGTTGATACAGATGTGATCAATCTGGTTTTGAGTAGTGTGATCAGGTGAAATCCATGTGGCTTTGTGTATGGGTTTGTGCGGGAATATTGTGCCACCGATGACCAGTTTGTTGAAGGCACATAGGTTTGCAAATCTCTCACCATTTTCGTTTCTTTCTCCCAGTCCATGTCGTCCCATGATGTCTTCATATCCAGTGTTGTCCATTCCAACCTTGGCATTCAGGTCTCCCATAAGAATCGTCAAATCCTTTGGTGAGCATCTGTCGACGATTGACTGCAGCCTTTCGTAGAATTGATCTTTAACGTCGTCATTGGTAGGTGCATAACATTGGATGACGTTCATTGTAATGTCCTCTTTCTTTGTTTTGAAGGATGCTTTAATGATCCTGGGTCCATGAGATTCCCATCCGGTCAGTGCCTTTTGTGCATGTTTGGACAGCATCAGTGCAACTGCTTGTGTATGTGAAGCATTTTCCTCTTCATGACCAGAGTATAACAGCAGTTCCCCTGAAGCTAGTCTCAGTTGGCCTACCTGTGTCCAATGTGTTTCACTGATTCCAAGCACCTCGAGGTTGTATCTTTTCATTTCTGCCACAATTTGAAATAGTCTCCAGTCTCCCACAATGTACGAACATTCCATGAACCTAAAAAAATGGTTGCTCTGGTTGTCAGAAGAGGCATCAGCCCCGTGACTTCCGATGGAACTCGGCTTTCATCACGTGACGTCATAATTTCTCCTCCAACTCCCAGGCAGAGTTAAAATGGTTTGAATTATTTTTTCTGGTTAGCGTTTTTTGGCAAGTTAGTTTCGACGGAATGGGGTCGCCAACCCCATGTCCAACCCTCCTCCTTTACCCGGGCTTCGGACCGGCAGTAGCCCCTAAGGTTCTACTGGCGGAGTTAAGGGACGCGGGTTGGCAAAAGCCAATCGAGCCTTCTGTATCTGCGCTGAGATTTCGTAAGTCACCAGTCCATCGGCACTGATGAGACTCGCCAGATAAGTGAAGTGGTAAACACGCTCGACTACTTCACTCCCTATCACTAGTTCTGGTGCCGATGTAACAAAGTCCTATAGCGACATTTTGCATTTCGAGGGGGAAAACCGCATCCCAAACATACTTGCATTGTTGTTTAGGGTAGTCAGAAGATTCAGCGATTCGTCAGCATCTTAACCGAATAGGACTGTTTCATCAGCATACTACAAGTCAGCAAGTGTCTACTGTCAGAAGGTCCACTCATGAAATGTCAGACGATGATAATGTAACTCTAAAAGCATATCTACGACAGTTAGCATAATGTGATCGAATTGTCAGTAGGTGGAGGAAAGCTAGGGGGTAGCGAAACCAAAAGACACTGTCATTTGAATTGATTCATGTTGATAGATGTGTTCATCCTACAATTGCTAGTTTTATTCACATGCATCAAGATGGTATACACTGAAACGGCGTACGCGTGAGTGATGACAGTCGAACAGGAGCAACCACGGAATCCTAGAAACTATTGAGCAGGTAAGAAACACTAGGAATGTTAACTTATGGCAAGAACAACACTTCATAATCTCAGACGACACTTGTCATGTATGGTGATGCATACCTCTATATTTACTTCAAAAGTGAACACTAAACTAATTAGAGACGTTTGCTCCTACTTAGGAACATTCGGAAGCTGGTATGTAGCATACAATTAGACCAACTGTCTACAGATCAACATGAATATCAAGAATTAAACTTGGTAATAGAGGACCCATCGTTAAGCGTAAGTCAATATATTAACTTATTAACAACAGCAGCAATCTAACCAACCCACAAAATCACATCATAAAAACAAATCACATTGTGGTGGTCCTAAATAGGACCTTGATGCGTTCTCGTGTGGACCAGCTGCAGGTAGGTAGGTCACTAGCTGCTCACATGCTAGCAAACTAACCGCCGAAACCGTACAAAGTACGACCCTGGCGTTTCAGAGCGTACACAACATCCATAGCTGTCACTGTCTTCCTCTTAGCATGTTCCGTGTAGGTGACTGCATCACGGATCACGTTCTCCAGAAACACCTTCAGAACACCACGAGTCTCCTCGTAGATCAGTCCGGATATGCGCTTCACACCACCACGGCGTGCTAGACGGCGAATGGCTGGCTTGGTGATACCCTGGATGTTGTCACGTAAGACCTTGCGATGTCTCTTCGCTCCACCTTTGCCCAAACCTTTACCACCTTTTCCTCGACCTGACATGTTCTAGATTGATGTACAATTAGACTTGCTAACCGACACGAGACGACGGTGATTGACACCATAACTCTGTGTAACCCACTCGAATCCTTAGAAAGAGAAGCCATTATTCAGCCAATCATATGCCCTCTCTCCACAAGTTAGGGTGACCATGATTGGTTGATTTCATGAGTGTGTAAATACACTCGCCTATGTAAAAGCAGACACACAATTGAGGTCACTTATCAGCTGGGTCAATCATAGAGGAGCAATGCAATTGGTTAAGCCTAGGCTAGGAAAAAGGTCAGACTTTTATTGAAATTCGTTTTCTAGTCTACCAACAACGCATTTAGATAAGTTCTGATCCAACACCATTAACTCATGTTTTTATCTATCCTTTCCATAATTTTGAATAATTCAAGAAATTGAGGATTCGCTATGTACAATGAATTGACTTTGACTAATCATGACTTTGTTTGCATGGGGGAAGTAATAGCTCAGCAGAATATTTACCAAAAAAATTAGGAGACCAAATGACCGGCTGAATTTAATTCGCTGAATGAGTTAAGATATGGATGAGTATGTTACAGATAAAAATCGCGTTAACTTAATTTTCATACGCATTATTGTTCGCGTTGATGGCATGCATTATCGAGGATAGGTGATATACGTTCCTCCGACCCTCCTTTGAACACATGCGCTAAGGAATCAGGCATTACAGAACACCATTCAATTTAGGCCACATGTCAAGGTTCACGTCTGTGACAGTTACAATGTGCACGTTTGTGTATGGTGATTGATGAAAGGAATTCGGAAATTGAGAAAAGTGATAAAATTCCTGATACTAGTGATTATTATTGGTGAAGTAATAAGTAAATCGTAAACCTAAAATCTGTAAATACTTTGTTGATAAAGAGAAAGATGGACTGGTAAGATTAGTATTTAATATCTGGTTGCATTAGGCACCTAAGGAAAGTTGAATATTTCAGCTCAACGTTTCCGATATTCAGGTCTGAACAATTCTAAACTTGTGGGTGGGTATACTCGAACTCCCCTGTACTCTGACCATTCTTTCTCATCTAACGGATAGTCGGGGGTGTAGCTCAGTGGTAGAGCGCTCGCTTCGCAAGTGAGAGGACCCGGGATCGATACCCGGCACTTCCAGGACTCCGTGAATCCGACCTCCCGGACACTCAGTGGTGGTGGTTGGCTCACACTTTTCCAACTGCCGACTAACTCCACCCCAATCAACTAACTATACCACACTACACCACACTTCACTTCACTCACTTACAGCAATGTCGTCTGTCCATCCTTTCTCATCTAACCGACCTGCGCATTCTAAAGTAATGACATTAACTGGTCACAGACAGTTGAACACGTTGTGCTCCGTTCTAAAACACACATGTTACTTAAAAAAAGTCGCACTAAGTCAGTCGTCGATGGCTCGAACAAATGTTTGCAATGTGTGTCCAGTTGTGGACAAGAGATCAGCCTCACTGTTCCAAGTAAACGGCATGCCTGTAATTACACGAATATCAAATTGGTATTGACAGTGAGAAATCACTGCTGTCATTGATCCGTCAGCAGGCAATTGATTGATTCGGTGTTTGGCATAACAATCTTCCGATTGTTAGGAGGAGTGGAGCACGGTCGGACGGGAGCTGGTAAGTCAAGAACAATTGAACACCCTTAACATATGCATTCTCGCAGGCAGATGATACTCTCTTACACAAGCCCACGACACTCCCTCACTCCACAGTGCTCATATCATGGATGAATACGAGTGCATTCTGCTCCGTTCCCTGCTTCCTCATTCCGCTCTCCCCTTCTTGCTTTGTTTCTTCCCACAATGTGTTTCGACACACAGCGTACTGCATATTTCGCTGAAATACAAGAACAATATCTAACTGTTAGTATTCAACTCCACCGTGTCTCTAATTGATTGCGATCTCACCACAAAGAAAACACCGTGGTGAATGCTTGCAAAAATTGTCACTAACTTGGTCGAGTGAATTATTGTCCTTTGAAAATCAGCATTCTCAGTCTACTTCCTGTCCAGTTGTGTCAACCATTTTACATTGAAGCACAATGCTCAATCAGCTTTCATACAACAGCATGCATATTTGAAATATTGTCGTATTAAAGTTCTATTTGATAGCAGCAGCGTTTCGCTGACACTGTGTAATCGAGCGAGATATGTGATAAATGTGTTCATGTCGGCTTTGTATGTCAAGCACCTCAACTGAATAATCGTGAGTAAAACACCGGTCATAGTGTAGTGTGTTAGCACGGTGCTGGTCTGATTACGACGATGTGTGAATTAGAGAAGAGACGTGGTTGAAATGATGCAGGTGCAATAAGACGTCTGCACCGAACGATGTTTGCTTCTGTTGCAATTGTATCCAGTGACTTGGTGATGATGACTGACTTTGTGATTGTCGGTACATGTTGTTTGTGAACTAGCGATGAATCAATGTTGGTGAAATTGATTGACGATGTGTGGCCATATGTATGAGGAAGAAATAGTATTTGAATGCGATAGAATAGCAGTGTGTTGTTTAGTGCGGCGGATAGTCGGGGGTGTAGCTCAGTGGTAGAGCGCTCGCTTTGCATGCGAGAGGACCCGGGATCGATACCCGGCACTTCCAGGACTCCGTGAATCCGACCTCCCGAACACTCAGTGGTGGTGGTTGGCTCACACTTTTCCAACTGCCGACTAACTCCACCCCAATCAACTAACTACACCACACTACACCACACTTCACTTCACTCACTTACAGCAATGTCGTCTGTCCATCCTTTCTCATCTAACCGACCTGCGCATTCTAAAGTAATGACATTAACTGGTCACAGACAGTTGAACACGTTGTGCTCCGTTCTAAAACACACATGTTACTTAAAAAAAGTCGCACTAAGTCAGTCGTCGATGGCTCGAACAAATGTTTGCAATGTGTGTCCAGTTGTGGACAAGAGATCAGCCTCACTGTTCCAAGTAAACGGCATGCCTGTAATTACACGAATATCAAATTGGTATTGACAGTGAGAAATCACTGCTGTCATTGATCCGTCAGCAGGCAATTGATTGATTCGGTGTTTGGCATAACAATCTTCCGATTGTTAGGAGGAGTGGAGCACGGTCGGACGGGAGCTGGTAAGTCAAGAACAATTGAACACCCTTAACATATGCATTCTCGCAGGCAGATGATACTCTCTTACACAAGCCCACGACACTCCCTCACTCCACAGTGCTCATATCATGGATGAATACGAGTGCATTCTGCTCCGTTCCCTGCTTCCTCATTCCGCTCTCCCCTTCTTGCTTTGTTTCTTCCCACAATGTGTTTCGACACACAGCGTACTGCATATTTCGCTGAAATACAAGAACAATATCTAACTGTTAGTATTCAACTCCACCGTGTCTCTAATTGATTGCGATCTCACCACAAAGAAAACACCGTGGTGAATGCTTGCAAAAATTGTCACTAACTTGGTCGAGTGAATTATTGTCCTTTGAAAATCAGCATTCTCAGTCTACTTCCTGTCCAGTTGTGTCAACCATTTTACATTGAAGCACAATGCTCAATCAGCTTTCATACAACAGCATGCATATTTGAAATATTGTCGTATTAAAGTTCTATTTGATAGCAGCAACGTTTCGCTGACACTGTGTAATCGAGCGAGATATGTGATAAATGTGTTCATGTCGGCTTTGTATGTCAAGCACCTCAACTGAATAATCGTGAGTAAAACACCGGTCATAGTGTAGTGTGTTAGCACGGTGCTGGTCTGATTACGACGATGTGTGAATTAGAGAAGAGACGTGGTTGAAATGATGCAGGTGCAATAAGACGTCTGCACCGAACGATGTTTGCTTCTGTTGCAATTGTATCCAGTCACTTGGTGATGATGACTGACTTTGTGATTGTCGGTACATGTTGTTTGTGAACTAGCGATGAATCAGTGTTGGTGAAATTGATTGACGATGTGTGGCCATATGTATGAGGAAGAAATAGTATTTGAATGCGATAGAATAGCAGTGTGTTGTTTAGTGTGGCGGATAGTCGGGGGTGTAGCTCAGTGGTAGAGCGCTCGCTTTGCATGCGAGAGGACCCGGGATCGATACCCGGCACTTCCAGGACTCCGTGAATCCCACCTCCCGAACACTCAGTGGTGGTGGTTGGCTCACACTTTTCCAACTGCCGACTAACTCCACCCCAATCAACTAACTATACCACACTACACCACACTTCACTTCACTCACTTACAGCAATGTCGTCTGTCCATCCTTTCTCATCTAACCGACCTGCGCATTCTAAAGTAATGACATTAACTGGTCACAGACAGTTGAACACGTTGTGCTCCGTTCTAAAACACACATGTTACTTAAAAAAAGTCGCACTAAGTCAGTCGTCGATGGCTCGAACAAATGTTTGCAATGTGTGTCCAGTTGTGGACAAGAGATCAGCCTCACTGTTCCAAGTAAACGGCATGCCTGTAATTACACGAATATCAAATTGGTATTGACAGTGAGAAATCACTGCTGTCATTGATCCGTCAGCAGGCAATTGATTGATTCGGTGTTTGGCATAACAATCTTCCGATTGTTAGGAGGAGTGGAGCACGGTCGGACGGGAGCTGGTAAGTCAAGAACAATTGAACACCCTTAACATATGCATTCTCGCAGGCAGATGATACTCTCTTACACCAGCCCACGACACTCCCTCACTCCACAGTGCTCATATCATGGATGAATACGAGTGCATTCTGCTCCGTTCCCTGCTTCCTCATTCCGCTCTCCCCTTCTTGCTTTGTTTCTTCCCACAATGTGTTTCGACACACAGCGTACTGCATATTTCGCTGAAATACAAGAACAATATCTAACTGTTAGTATTCAACTCCACCGTGTCTCTAATTGATTGCGATCTCACCACAAAGAAAACACCGTGGTGAATGCTTGCAAAAATTGTCACTAACTTGGTCGAGTGAATTATTGTCCTTTGAAAATCAGCATTCTCAGTCTACTTCCTGTCCAGTTGTGTCAACCATTTTACATTGAAGCACAATGCTCAATCAGCTTTCATACAACAGCATGCATATTTGAAATATTGTCGTATTAAAGTTCTATTTGATAG